TGAATCATGTATCGAAATCTTACCAGGAAGAAATTTCTCCGATTCTCGATACGAAAGCTCGAGGTCCACGTTACGATATTCGACTGCAGAGGTAACGCTCGCGAGATCCAGGATAAACCTCCGAATAGGATCGCCGTAAGAAACGGTCCCGATTCCGATACGGGCCAAGAGCACGAGGAAACGCCGCGAGCCGGGGAAGATCGACCGGACACGGGTTGGAGCGAGAGAAAGCGGGAAAGAGAGAGAGAGAGATAATGGGCTTCCGGCGTTGAAAGCGTGTTCGTGGGGCAGGTTTTAATTTTCAAGAGACCGCCGCCGGTCCGCTCCTGTTACCCTGTGCAGCAGCTGTGCACGCCGACTGGCGTGTTTCGTTCGATTTGGCGCGTGCCTCGTTGCTGCTGCTTCTGCTGCTGCTTCTGCTGCTGCTGCTGCTGCTGGCCGCGTTGCTAGCTCGCTCGCTCGCTGGCTGCCTTCGTTTCTTCCTTCCCTCGTCGCTTTCGCCGTTACTCCTCCGTTTCGGGCCGAGAACCCGGCACCTGTTCCACAGCTGATACGCGGCTGGCTGCTTTTGCCCGCTCGGAACCTTCTTCTCCAGCCTGTGCGCCGCCACCCGCCTCTCCTCCCCCTTTCAACCGCGTTCCAGCGACGTTCCTTTCGAGCCGATCGCGCTTGCCCAGCCAGGAACTTGGTCAACGGATCCAATTGCGACCGCGACCGACGATTAATCCTGGAAACCCGAGGCTCGAGCGATCCTCCGTCGAGCCTCGAGTTCTTTCTCGAACCAGTAAGGTTCACTCCTTGTACGCTGCCTCTCGATGAACAGAGATTCGTGGAACACGCGTTGTAAATCAAACATTCGATTGAACCTGAGCAACAGTGTACCTTCGAACGGATCGGTATCCAACCACGGTGTCATTAAACCTTGCGCTACCGGCCGCAGAAAATCCGTAATTGTAGCAGCTGATATCTCATTGCTGACGTCTGTGTTTGCTCCGAAACTGTGTTTACGAGTGAAAGCGGCGCACGGGTAGATACGTTGATCATAGAAAACCGAGAATGAAACGCCAAAGGGAGCCAAGGATCGATCGGTTCGCTAAGTGGCGTATCGAAATCATACACGAGCGAACCGGCGAGAGTCTGAATGGAACGAGGAATGTTCGCCTGCCGAGGGTTAATCACCCGTAATTATAGCCGTGTAAACGGTCCGAAAAGCGGGCTGAGACGGAGCGAACGCGCGACGAGTGGCCGGAGAGGGCGGCCGGCGTTTAAAGGGCCGAGACTCGCGAAATTCCGTGGCTGAGAAACGGGGCCGGTCGGTTTTGAAAGAGGCCCCGCCGGCCCGCCGTTCAATTGTTCATCCGTGTGAACAAACGCGTGGGCTGAATGCTCAGGAATTTCGGAATAGTTTCGTCCCGCTCCTGTCGGCCTTCGAGCGGAGTCGCGGAGACGGATCGCGCGAGAGGAGGGTGCGCTCCGCCGACCGGCAGGAGCCTTTCTTCTTTAACCGTTTCTTGATAATGTCTTGATTCACATCCGTCTAACGATATCTCCGAAAAACTCGAGACTCCAGTCGAACTAGCCATGTTTCGCAGTGAAAAAACTCGTTCCTCTTTCTGCCCCTTTATTCGCGTAATACTTGCACTATCTCAACTTAACCCTTCGATCACGTGTCTTTGTACACGTTTAAAAACCTTTGAATAAATCGCCTGATATCGCGCACTCAAATTCTCCTGGCAATCCTAAGCGATATTCTTTGTTAGTTTTTACATTAACAAATGAGAACTCTTTATTTCACGATACGACAACAAAACCTATCGCCTTTGCTAGTCTTTACATTAACAAATGAGAACTCTTCATTTCACGATACGACACAAACTAGCAAAAGCTTTGCAATTGCTGATGGTATCAAAAGGGTTACTACTGTTACATCGCGCCATTCATGCCATTCGCACCACTTATACCAGTCTATACAAGAAGAAACTCCAGAAAAGTAGATTTGATTTTCCCCCGCGCAGAAGCAGCGCACGGTTGCGAGTCGTGGACGGTTCACTGCGATCCGTTCTCTCGGTTCCTCTGTGTTCCTCCGTGTGCGCCGTTGTTCGGTGTGTGCGCGAGTCGGTCCGCGCCCGCGCGCCGTGAGGGCCTGCCCGAAGCTGCACTCCCACGCTCACCGTCCATGAAATGGGGTGCGAGGTGCAGCCACACATCGGGCCGCGCAGGTGTAGGTGGTGTACGCGCAAGGGTCCGTCCCTACGGCCCTATTAACCGCGCCGCAAGGACCGAGTATGAGAACCCGTGGAACTCGCCGGATCGTTCTCGCCGTTCCACGTCCGCCGTCGACCACGCTTTCCTTTTCTTCCCTTTCCTTCCCTTTTCTCGTCTGCACGCCGAATTAACCCTTCGCCTACGGCGGAACGTTGCGTCGACGCGCACTTAGACGAGTCTATTGAAACCATCGAAACACCGGGAACTAAATTAAACCAATCCGAGATAGTCACGCTCGTATAATGTATGGCCAACGGAAGGCTGGAATCGTTGAATTAGAATTCATTTGCGTCAGACCTGAGCGAGCTTCGCAAAAACAACTTTTCAAAGCGCCAGCCGAGGGGTTAACGTGTTCAGTGGTCGCCTATCGCTTTGGAATTGCTTGAAATAATTGCGATATAGAACTGTTAAGATACAACGACGTTGAATAGTTCGGGAGTGAAAGTAACAGACAGTAGCGCAACGCGAGAATCGCGATTGATAGTAATTAGTAATCCCTCATTATCCTTGCTACGGCAGTCACTGTGTTATTAATTCGATTCTTCTTATTAGCGATCGATTTCCTATCGAACACGTCTAGTTAATTTCGACTCGTTGGAGGTATTATCTCGGCAGCCCATTATCAGTCCGCTTCGATTGCAATCTCCGATCGAAAGTCGTAGACGAGATCGTGGAAGTACGTCTCGGTGAATTGTTGCCTAATCGACGGAGGACCGATCGTTCTCCATCGACGCGTCGTCGGTCTCCCGTAAATTGCGAGTTCGTTTCGTGAAACATCGCGTCGCGTCACGGGGCTAATGATACCGGCTCGTTACGGGTCGTGTCTCTCGCCGGGCCACCTGTCTTCCTCGCCGTTAAGACGGATAAGTGTGGGAACGTCGGCTGGTCACACATATCGTGTACATTATAATTCCGACTGTTCACGCAACGCAAAGCAACGCAACGCAACGCAACGCGACGCAACGCGACGCTCGGGCGACGGATTATGGTAATCCGCGGAAGCCATTGCTCCGTGCGCGCTTTCGTTGCTCGGGTAATAATAAAAACACGGATAACCGTTGACAAATGCTTCTCGGGTAATCGCGATAGCCGAGAATTAATGAAAATTAATGAAAATTAATGGACGTCGACGAGGGGTAGCTCTATCCTTCGAAGAGCGAACGACATCGCGGAACTTTCGCATCTGGAATGCAACGTGTAATTATTCGCCGTTTAATTATTCAGACGAAAACAGATCAGCGCGCAGTTCCCTGTTCCTCTGGCATCTGCTCCGCGAAGGGTCGAGCGTCGCCGCATAAGGGTGCTTAACGCCCGTAATTTCGTATGCGATCCGAAGTGTCGCTCCGCGGCGAACGGAAACCGTGAGCACGGAAAACGGCGGCGAGCGCGCCTCGAAATTTGAATAAGGGCCCGGGCACGTAGATCTCTCGTTCCCTTCTCGACGGTTAACTGTGAAATTTCAGATAAGATTAAGCGATTTCCGTCGACTTCCGTTCGCGTAAGCCCCGAAGGCGGTTTCGTCTGGATCTCCACCGCATCTTATCGGCTTTCGACAAAAATATAAATCTGCCGCGAGTAATCAAAACAGGATATGCATATACGTACGCTTATCTCCTCGCAGTTGATTCGATCGTCACCGCGCGCGCGCGCGCGCGCTCCGTTTTAATTTCCCCGTATACGGAACACGGGCCAGTCCCCGACAGCGATTCGGCCGGAGCACAGGTCAACGACGTCTCCCCGACGACGTCCGGCTGTTTTCGTTTTATCGAGGTTCGGATAACGGAGGACAGTCCGCTGGGGGTGAGCCGCGCGATATCTGTCCGAGTTATGCGCACCGATGCTATCGAGGGAACGAAACGCGCGTTCGGTTCGTAATCTAAAGAGCATCGGTGTTCGAACGCGGTTCATTCGTCCTTGAATATTTCACTCGACCGTTCTCGCGCATGTCGATCTTTCGGCTCGATCCTCCGTCCAGATCGATTCCTGTCCCCTTGTCGGAGACGATCCGACAGGGACTCCGTTGTCGTCGCGTCGTCAGGTGTCGGCCGATCGAGGACGAGACGATCGCAGCCTCCGTAATGGAGGCGCGCGACGCCGCGCGACGCGGCGCGACGCGGCGCGACGCGGCGCGACGCGACGCAAACCGACGCGTTTCTCGTGCTCGAGGAAAGGAAGTCGAGGATAGGCGGAGTTCGCTCGAGCCAATCGTCGAGATGCGCGCCGCCCACGTGTCAGCAGTTCCTCCCTGCAGACTCCGTGCCTCCCGTAGCTTCGCGCGATCCTCTGCGGTTCATCCGAACGATTTCCCGTCCGGTTCGGACGCGATTCGGGAGCCATTCGGCCTGCCGTGATCGGTGCTCGGGCACGATTCGGCTCGGCTGAAATTCGAGGACTTTTCTTCGAATCGTCTCTATTAGGGAACGCAAGGTACACGACGGTGTCGTGATTTGCAATAGATAAAACGAAGGAAGCTCGATCGGTAGCCCTGAAGTAGCCGAGACCGCGAACTCGCTCGATTCGGTGAACGGACGGTATCGTTGCGAGATCTTGATCCTTGGTCTCTCGATGCTCGTAATCGCTCGAGACATTGTAACGAAGTGCGAAGCGGCGTGTAATTGCGTGGAAGGAGGAAGGACTCGAGAATAATAAGGGAGAGGGGGAGAGTGTCTCGTCCGGAATCCAGCAGCGGCAGAGCGTTGGAAGGTGCCGCCACAAGTGAAACGGTTTCGTTGCAGGAGGCTACAACCATTTCCGCAGTCCCGTGTGCCAAGACGAGAACCAGGGAGACGAGACCTCGCCGCCGCCGCCGCACAGCCATACCACCCAACCCCCGAACTCCCATTCCAGCACGCCCAACAGTAACAACAACAATAACAACAATAATACCGCGAACAACGCGTACATTCATCTGCGGAACTTAAATCAACTCAAAACGGAGTGTGAGTATAAAACCGAGAGGATGATTCTGAAGCGGCCTGTAATGTTTATTGAGAGAGGAAGGGATTTCGAAAGAATAGGAGAGAGAGGGAGAGAGAGAGAGAGCGTTTCGTCCGGGGGTGGACTCGTCGATAAGGCGTCCCGGTAGACCCGTGCCTTGGACGAGTGTCGGGGATTCACGAAGAGTCACGAAAACAATTAGGATACCAGTATAATTTTCTCTAAGCTTTGTATTTGGAACGAATAAATGAATATGCGCAGACACGAGTTGAGTTCTGTTACAATACACGATGTAGGATATAGTATTCGTGAAAAAAGCCGACTAGCTTCTATCTATCTATGCACGGTTGCGTTAGTGTGCGAGTAATGGACTAGCGATTCTTTTGTGAACAGATGACGGCAACGATCTCGCGGGTACAGGGACCAACGAGAGCGATCTCAGGGTCAGCCAGGCCGCCACGGAGAGCTATATGACACCGGCTCATTACTCCGGGTACGATGAGGCCTCCGAGTACCACAGTCTGCCGCAGGATCATCAACCGCCTCATGCCTACAATCTAGACGGTTCGCCGGAGTTTTACAGTACCAGTGGAATTCAGCTCGAGCCGAAGTATCAACCGTCTCCGTTCAAGAACTATCCTCGTGGTAGGTTCCGTCTCCTTCCGAGAGATCACAGAGAATATACAGGGTATCGTGGAAGATCGAATGCAATCGTTGGCTAAATTTCAGGTCGCTACCACGAGGGGTACAGTGAGAGCGGTTACGGACAGTATGATACGACGCCATTCCAAACGGTTCCAGGAAGCGGAAGCGGCGGTGGAGCTGGCGGCGTCAGCGGCGACCAATGGGCGGTTGGTCCCATTGGAGAACACTTGCCCCATCATCCCGCTTTCCTCGCGGGTCTCGGCCCCAGGGACTCTTCTAACCCCCATCATCCCTCCTCCATCGGCAACAACAACCCTGATCAGAAGCCCCTGCTGCCGAGCGCGATGATCGCCGGTTATACAAGTGAGCATCGATCATGTCGTATCGTATCGCGCTTTGCTAGCGGAACGAGAGGTTTGAACGTCGGATGAATTCGCAGGCAGCGGACCATGCTTCACCGGTTCAGGCCCCATTCAGCTGTGGCAGTTCCTGTTGGAGCTCTTAACAGACAAGTCCTGCCAAGGCTTCATCTCGTGGACCGGCGACGGCTGGGAGTTCAAGCTGACGGACCCGGACGAGGTGGCGCGTCGCTGGGGGATCCGCAAGAACAAGCCTAAAATGAACTACGAGAAGCTGAGCCGCGGTCTCCGCTATTACTACGACAAGAATATTATTCATAAGACCGCTGGGAAGCGGTACGTCTACCGTTTCGTCTGTGACTTACAGAGTCTCCTAGGGTGAGTCTCCCGTTGTATTGTTTTATCGTTGTTTCTGTGCCTATTCGTTCTCCGATCGCGCCTGGGGCTTGCCTTCATTTTCTGCAACGTGTTCATTGCAGATACAGTCCGGAAGAGCTCCACGCAATGGTGGACCTGAAACCAGAAAAGAAGGAAGAAGACTGAGTTTTTGTTACCGGAAGCGTTTAAGGACTGTGTCGTTGATCGGGGAATTGAATTGATTAATTCCTGGATGTCGGACTGGAACAAAAACGAAACTGAACATGTAACGAACAATGTGTAAAACGAACAAACGATGGAGGAACAAAAAAGTAAAACAGTGAATCGCTGACGAATCAATTCTTTGTAATGTTTCGAAGACGTAGAAAATCGCGCGCGCCCGCGCACTCGCGCTCGCGAGGGTCTTCTTTTCTACGTTCAGATGTAATAAGAAAAATCGAATCGGTCGTATGTACCAAAGACAGGGTCTGCATACCATTGGTGCCTAAAGATAATGACAACAAAAAATTGTGAGAATTTGTTTCTAAGTGATTAATTTGCCAAGCCAGATTTTAGAAGATATTTATAGGAAATAACTCAACAATTTATACATATTATATATAAATATATATATATATGTATATATATACATACATCTATAGATACATATGTGTATACATGTATGTATATATATTTTTAATGTTACATGATTTCTAAGCACTACGTCAAGCCACACGATACGTCTAAATTATTTATATATGTCCCCCATCATTTTAAACGTGCGTGTTATATCTCGTTGACAGATGACACCATATGTGATTGTTATTACTATAATTTTACTACAATAAAGCCATTAATACCATTTTATCAGACGGCGAGCTTTCAATCCGATATTTTCGATGCTT